AACAGATTTTCATTCTCATAACGAAGCGATTATAACAGCCTCTTGTTTCACTGCGCTGGATCTCGGTTTTGGAGGCTTTCTCGTATCTGTTTCGCTACGTTGTGTGGTAGGATGAAGCTGCATTTTGGGTTTGTCCTATTGTGAGAAGTAACGTGGTTAACTAAAAAGTAGTGCACCAGTCGAGCGGACCACACAGATTACCAGATTTAAAAAGGGGCGTGGAAATAGTGATGGCACCCACAGACGTTGTATCTGAATATGTGTTGCTTCCCATTTCAGATGAAGAGATAATGAAATTATACTTATAGTCACATTTTAGACCAAACTAAGTCATTCGATGGTGATATTCAAATATAGTATGCTTCATTTATCATCTTGTATAGATTAGTTCACCATCACTCTGGTTCCTTAATGCTAGTAAACTAAAACATTTCCTGTCACTGATTACTATAGATGCAATTATACTTCTTTACATGTTTAAGTGGACACTATACACTGTGGTGATCGTCTTGCAGATAATATCGTTATTATGTTGATAATGCTTGTAAACTGGTGTCCGTCATGTACAAACGAGTGAGAATATTCACAACTCGGATACAGTAACTTAGCTGTGTTAGATCATGCCAACGAAGAATAACCGGCTGATGTTTGAATTATTGTTGTTTTTTCCTATCATCTATTTTACATGCTTCAATAGATTAATAAGTAATCTCCATTCGTTAAATGAGTAGTGCTGGTCTATAGCAAGCTAAGACTTTAGAAAACTACACTGATATTGTGCAGGTCCACTATGTAGAAAGTGCGTTAGGCTTCCAATAAACTATCAACTATCCTGGAGTTATTATTGTTACCCATCTAGAAGGAAAGTAACAAGGACTAGATACACAAATTATTCTCGTTGTATTTTGCATTTGAAATGGTTCACGCTGAATTATAAATTATCAGCGCTTGGCATATGCCACCACTACGTATATCCATGCCAATGCTTCGAATTTCATCGGCGATTTTACTCGTAATACATGGACTCTAAGCTTTCTAGAACCTATTTCAAGCGACTTAGATGAAGTCAACATCGAATATGCTCGAAGTCAATGTAAAAATGACAACCACCGCAGAACAAGAAGCAGTAGCTTTCTATTTACTCGTTACAGTATGTGATTCACACATAGCCGTTACATGTCCTGTACAATATTTCACACACCACATTTAGTGTCGTTGCCCAATTTTTGTTTAATTTGGATAGGCAAAATGATTCGGATTTAACTAACAACATTCTGGCAAGCAGAAGAGTTTATTACCCATGTGAACGTGTCTGATTAGTTCTTCTTTGACAAAATAAACGCATGTTGCTGAAATCACCTCCAAGTTTCTTTGTTTTTGCTTGATCTGTTTCAAGTGTTCTTCGGAAAAACCGTTAAGCTGAAAGTTCGCACGCCCATATCCTAAGCGAAATATACTCTCTTATTCACAAATGCTCACAGTCTCCACTTGTGGAGCCTTCGACAAAAATCTCAGATAAATTCTCATAAGGTGGACTGAAAGAATCTTCACTTCATGTATGACATATGGAGTAATAACAAATTCGTTAGTTTCCTTTCCATATTTTGTTTATCGCTGTTGTACCTACAGTGATTATACAACATTTTGGCATCCTTAACAGACTCTTTGCGTTTACTTCCTATAGGAAAGCCAATGATCTCTGCTACCACAGTGGCGAGGTCCATCAGAAGCGTACACAAAGTCTAGGGATTGAAGTCTAACATTCACTGACCATCTGAAGTCACCATTTGCGCCTACCAGCAGATACACGACAAGTCACAATATCTGCCCTGATGGTGGAGTTGACAGATGATGTCACCGGTGGCAGGTGAAGGCACATTATTACTTCAGAAATCCACGGTAGACTTTACGGTCAGCTTTGAATTTGTCACATTATGCAGAGCTGTACGAGCCCTCCAGGAAGTTTCCATCAAAGTACTTCTCGGATCTGAAGATTTGGTTGCGTGGAGTGTCAAAACTGTCATGTTCTCACATGAAGTTTTGCCAAAAGCCTACCAAGCCCAGAGCCTATTATAAAGCGTCCGGGTTTACACGTCTATGATGTGCCCCTAACTAACTGCAAACTTTTCAGTCTTCGCAGTAAGTCTACAAACATTTCCAGCCTAGTGTTTTTCAAGTTTACACCTACCGATGAAACTAAAACTCCGGGACCTGGTGAAACAGTCGACCCAGCAGCAAGTTACGCCAATGTTTTGGTCAAAACTAATTAAACCCGTAGTTATAGACTTTGCCTCAAAGCAAGACATTATGTTTGTGACTTTCGTAGAGCGACCACTGACAGTGTGATATGCATTACTCCCGTAAATGATATTTGTGAGGGCCGGTTACACTGAATGTTATCTCATACTCCCGTAAATATTAACCAAATGAGCAGCGAAGTGAACCTGGCGGATTCTGAAGTGACAGACTTATGTTTGCTCGATCTGTCCGCAAGTGCAGAAGTCCTCCGGAAACCAACTCACAACCTTCATGACTCACCTGTAGACATTCGATACTCAAACCTGCAATCTGCCTACCAAAAACATCAATCTATGTGTTTCAGCCACTTTATGAATAACGCTCTGGGATATACCGACTTCCACTTTTTAAACGAAATCCCAAACAAGCCAAGCGGTTCCAAATAGATTTATACTGAAACCAAGACGGTCGAAGCAACTGCAGGATTTACTGTTCTATTCACAAAAATGTATCAGCTAAACACAGTACAGACCCTCGAACATGGGGTTTTTCCGACATCGAAACACCAAGAACACAGTGGTGAGGCAAAAATAGCTCGCGGTTGACAGGTATGAGCACCCAAACGAAGATGTACATCAGTCCAAAGAAACCAAAAACTGTCTAATTAACACGAAATGCAGTGGTACATAAAGTAAAACTTTACTGTTTGAAGGCGCAGTACTGGACGTAGCAGATTGCAACTTCATGAAATACCTCCAACTTCTAGAACCAATTTACCGCGCTTTTGTCTCCGCCACTGCAGTCTCGCGGGATATGCTGGAATAAGCTGCCATCCAGGACAGTGCTTTTCCTCAAGCTTAGTGGAAACTTGTGAATCAGCAGGCTGTAACCGTTTTAATTACTCGCAAGAGTATATTATACTGTTAGAGGTCATATTTTACTGGATTTAAATACATTTCACAAGAGGGTTTACGTGCAATATGTAGATGAAGGTCTTTGGTAGCCCAGGTTTTAAGCAAACGACTCAATCCCTAGTCTGACTGCTGACAGACAGTCGTAGCCGACAAAGGAAAAGTTTGTTCAGTGGAAGATTGCTTCCCCTAAGTCATCATCCACAACCATAGAATGAGCTCAGGTTGCACCATTTAGAGCCATTTTCTCGGCCTCTTATCAAACTAGAGAAAGGGAAATCAACAAGGTCTAACTATCTTCACCCACGGCCTCCAAACTCACCTGGCCAGCGCACTAACTACTACTACACCTCTTACATGGAGTGTTACAAAGTGATTGGAAGGAGACACTGGTTACTCCTTCCATAAGAGGAAACCTGGGTACAGCCTTTCGAACTATTTATCCATCAGTCATACCAACATCTGAACCAAGTGGAAAAGATGGTCAAGGAATCATGTTTGGAAAGCATACAGTATGGTTTTCGGGGAAATCTAGTTCTACTAACAGAGCTTTCCAGAAACGAAAAGCTGGGATAGGTGGAGTCACAACGAGAACGGAACACTAGCACTTTATTGGCTGTTGTCTGACTTTAATACGATGAGCTTCGAGTCACAACACTTTAGCCAACTAATCACTTGGAAATATTCTCCACAGTAAGTAGACAAACAGAAGTCATATTTAGCCGAGACAACAACTTTATTAGCACGATACAAATTACGCTGTTATTCACACATCAACGGACATTAAAACCACAGGCAACTATTATCTGATTGGTTGCATCAATCATGATTTTGTGGTTAACAGTCTGTCCTAACACCTCCTCTTCTTTGTAGATTTTCAGTTTTGGGATAAATGGAAACCTGAATACCCTCTGTCTATGATACATCCCCCAAGAAGCAGTGTGGAACCCTTGCTTGGTGCATGGTTGGCTTTGTCAGCAAAAAAAGGGTGTTATTAAAATTTCCCTTTCCAAGAATCAACCATTTATAGCAAGTATTGAATACTGATGAATTCCCCCCAAATTTCAAGAAGAGTTTGCATCGTTTCATCACAATTGGTGTCACAAAAATGTTTGCGAAAAGGATAGTTTGCCATTCCAGCCAATACCCAATATGTTCAAGTCATGATGGCTGGTAAGATAACTTGAGTCTTTAAAATTCTTCGAAATGAACCCAGCATACCCACAGACTACACCAATTAAGTTTAAAATGTCTGCAGAAGCATTAATAGTAACACGACACTTGCTGGCAACTTGTGGGAATCCGCTCTTCTCCTCCAAGATAGGGAAACTTGAGCGAAAATCCCTGCACTTGAACTGATCATATCCTCCGATTTTTCACAAATAGTGCCTTCACCAGATTTTAATGCATTACATGAATCTAGATTAACAACTTGACTTCAAGCATCAGTTTTTGTGGATTCAATGAAACCCAACTGTGTAATTGTTGCACCGACTAGTGTGTTGTTAGACCACAACAAGGAGACCATTGACATTGTTCTCACAAATTTTAGCAGAGCGATTCACACAAGATTATGCATGAAATCGGAAAATTTAGAAATCATGGGTGGCCTGCTCAGTTGGACCGAGGAATTCCTTATAAGTACGAGACAGAGAGTCAGGATCAACCAAAAAGTCTCGTGTATTCCAGAACGAGATCAAAGGGGGGCCACACTTTGGTATGACTAGTCCACTATATGCAGCGCTATCTAAATGATTAAATCTCTTCTCCTTAACATATCTGAGACTAGGAGGAATTCCAATAGAAATTCCCAGAAATGATTGTGAACATGTTCTATGTTCTGTTTTACTGCTCACCAGGTGCGAAAAACTTAAAGAAAACAGCAGGAGAATTCAAAAGTCAAGCTGGAAGCATATATCTGGTACTACAGACTGGCCACTAACTCATGAAACTCACTATCAAAAGAAGTAATCCGAGCATTCAGTCGCGTTTTTAAAGAAAAGATTGAAAAGGCGAAGAAAATTACTGGAAAGGCGGTGAGGACAGGCCTAAGCTCTTCCATCATCAACCGAAATTCTGAATCGGCAAACTTAATAACTAGGTACTGCGTGTTCACTGGCAAGGTTGGACCATAGGCGCTCACTTTGAATTTCTTCACGATGATATCTATTCTTCCTGTGTTGGTTGCGGCATGTAAGGATGATTACAACCATTATTAACTTTTTCACGTATAGGTTTTTCTGCGTATTGTGTGTCTTCTGGGAGTGTATTGGCAACACCCGAATCTCTTCCAGCTACTTTCCAAGTTCTTTCAAATAGTTCGGAAATCTGCCTTTTGATACAGTTTCATGTCAACTTATCCGTAGTCTACACAAAGGTTAGGATTTAGTACTTATTTTAAATGTTCGTATTTTTTACATGAATCATACAGGATTCCCATAGAACAATTTAATGTATGTATATATTTATATTAAAATTAAAAATTAATTAATGAGGTTGGACAGTGTAACGTCGCATGTAACATGGAGATGAGTTTTTGAGTAGTATTTTTACATCCAAGTTATCGTGTTGACTTAAGATTTGGCCGACTCTCTGATAAACGATGTCAGTATTACGTCTAAAGTCCTGTGACACTTATTCACTGTTTGTTGCTTTGAGTTATTCGTTGGAAAATATTCAAGAATATGTCGAAAATTAAGTATTTAGAGATCAGTTATTTTATTGAAGTCGGTAACAGTGATATTCTAGTTTATCTCAATCATAATTTCAAGACTACCAAAACTCATCTCAGCATTGTTTTCTTACAGTTTTATCGGGAAAACTTAACATTAAAGTGCCGAGTGTCATTTATATTGCGCTATAAATGCTTATACTACTAATTCAGATCAATAAAGTGTACCGAAATGTCTGTCAAATCCATGGAAATCAAGACTTTTCTCTTGCAAGATAGAAACTTTAGTTATTTTCGTCATTGGCTTTGGAAACCGTCTGTTGGTCGGTAACTACTCCCAAAAATAGTAATACAGAATGATTTATAAAATCAACACGCGTACTCAGTCATCCCCCCTGTCTTTATGTATTTCTTCTTTACATGATTTAGTATCAAATCTCTGCTAAATTTGTGCTTAAGTAAGTCTAGAAATGAATATATTTTTTGTAGTATTATGATAGGTGGAATAAGAGCAAGCGTAATACATAGCTAAAAACAGTCAGGCTTCTCACTAAGTAGTTTTACGAACCAATTCAGCCAAAACCAACTTATGGATAGACCTCGACGGAAATAAAATATTTAGAAGACGAAAGAATTGAGCGAAGAAATATTTACTTTTCAATTCGATTCTCATCTCTGACTCTATTGTAGTAATATATATCACATTCTTTAATACAAAACAAACAAATTTACCAATCTAGTGGCGATAAGTTTGTTAACAATAGTTAGTATTATCATGTCAGGGGGGTTGATGATTAATCAAGATTACTACAAACAAATTAAGGATATATTGCGTGATTTTGGAAAAATAGGGAGTAAATAAGCGTTCAAGTCGACTACTCAGTAAGCAAAGATGAAGTAATCAACAAAAGTCAAACAATTTGGTCCTTGTAAAAAGGGCGAAATTGTCAGGTTTTTACATTCATGTAATGATGGCCAAGGTGAGGAAAGTAGCTGCACGAGTTTCTTCTGAACAAAGGTCTGGCCTTTTCAGATAGATCCCGATGGATTCAGCTTTATGTAGAAGACGAACTCGTAAAACAAAACCTGTGAAATAGAATGATATCATTTTATACTGCAAATCTGGTCTTTCTTTCTCTGTCGAGAATTAATATTAGTCGGAATGTGGTACATAACTTCAAATGCTTTATTAACATCAACTTTATGCTCACTGTCTACAAGGTGAGCCAAAGCAAAGCGACGAATACATCTTGTTTGTCCCTTGCTTAACCATGCATGATGGTGTTCGGAAATACGATGATGACCCTGCCTAAATGTATGCTCAAGGTAACTAGCTCCGTACGATTTGCCAAACTGGTAGATAGACATAGAGGAGGGGAACTTCTTGAGGTGCCCTGAACTATCTGACTCATGTTGCTGGAAAGAGGAAAGAAAAGAAAAACGCTGAATTATTACAAAGCCAGGAAAGCGAAACTCTTGAGATGCGATTTTCTTCAAACTCTGGTCGGTATGTTTATAATTTTTCCGATGTTGTTCTTGATGAGATAGATTTGCAAATAATATCTCTTTACCCTGAGTTTTGTGTTAATCGTGTTAGAATTAATAAAAATGGATATGCCCATTCAGTTTCAAAACCTCTATATGCAAACCTTCATCAATTGAGCCAACTGAAAGACTCAAATCAACTCTTGTCGATTGTTGCTGTAAATATATGAATAGCAAACGGAAATCAAATAGTATACTAAGCAAAAAACATATAGAGGCCTTAAATAAGCTGTGGAGAAATAAGAATCTAATAATTACTAAACCAGATAAAAGTTCTGCAATGGTAATTATGAATAAGACGAATACATAGATTTTCTTGCTTCGAAGCAAGAAAGTTATGTGAGTACCCTGGTATGATTACGCACAATAAATTGTGCTCGAAACGTCATCAGTAATCATAACTGCATAACACTGACTTTCAAAATAAAATTTTATCCATAATGACATTATACTCTACCACAGTGCTCACGTTTTATCCTTGTATCAAATTTCATCTTCGACTAATTAAGGCTTAAAAAACTGCATATAATCTCAGAAGTTTCATATGGATTACTCAAACATGCAGGAACTGTCACACCAAGACTATATGCGCTGCCAAGTGTATAAAAACAGTGGTTTTTCACTTCGGCCAGTGTTAGACATGTGTAATTCCTTATATCACGCAACAGCCAAACAGTAGATGAAGCTCTAACAGCCTCTTCATAAGGAATTTATAAAACATTGTGTAGTAGATAGTTTAGAATTCATCAAAAAAATAAGAGGTTTAAATATAAATAACAAGTTCATGATATCTTTCGATGTATCATCTTTATTCACTAATGTACCGTTGACTGAAACAGCATATATTATATGTGATGAAATTATTAAGTGAAACACAGACACAGATATTTCTGTACCTTCCACGAAGGAACTTGTTCTAAGATGAATATTCATTTCTTGTTTGACAAAGAATACGGTAGACAAACTGGTGGTATGGCTATGGGTTCATCATTGAGGCCAATCCTACCTCTTTTTTCCTAAGTTACAAAGTGGATCATTGAAAAAGAGTAATTAAAAAGTTGGAATTCTACTGTTGATCTATGGACAAAACATTACTGATTGTGAAAAATGAGAACCAAGCAACGAACATCCTCGACAAGTTCACTGATGCTCGTTGAGTAATAAACTTTACCATTGAGAAAGAAATGAATGAAAGTATTTTATGCATAGACGTCTTTCTGACCAGGAAAGAGGATGGCACATTCGCAAGAAGTGTACATAGGATAGGTCAGCACACTCATTTTTTTAAATTGTATACCTTTGAGGTTTGAACACAGGTTGGTACAATGCTTGGTTTAGAGAGATGTGATAATCTGCCTAAACAACTCACTCAATGAGGAGCTCAAGCCTATCACAGAATTACTTAGTAAAAACAATTATCCGGATAAGTTCATTGGTGAAAATATATACTGAGAACCAAGGGAAATCGGCGTGTTAACAGCTCAGAAATGCCCCTGTTCATAAAAGTGAACTTTCTTAGTGAAATAGTAACAGTGCTTGAAGAATGAAGCTAAAAGAGTGTTAAGTGCAATAGAAGTACACTGTATTCTCATAAGTACTCCGGACTTTACATTAGAGAAATAAGGAAAAACTACCTAGATTCGCCTGTCTACCAGTTCGACTGCTCGTACGGAGCTAGTTACCTTGAGCATACATTTAGGCAGGGTCATCATCGTATTTCCGAACACCATCATGCATGGTTAAGCAAGGGACAAACAAGATGTATTCGTCGCTTTGCTTTGGCTCACCTTGTAGACAGTGAGCATAAAGTTGATGTTAATAAAGCATTTGAAGTTATGTACCACATTCCGACTAATATTAATTCTCGACAGAGAAAGAAAGACCAGATTTGCAGTATAAAATGATATCATTCTATTTCACAGGTTTTGTTTTACGAGTTCGTCTTCTACATAAAGCTGAATCCATCGGGATCTATCTGAAAAGGCCAGACCTTTGTTCAGAAGAAACTCGTGCAGCTACTTTCCTCACCTTGGCCATCATTACATGAATGTAAAAACCTGACAATTTCGCCCTTTTTACAAGGACCAAATTGTTTGACTTTTGTTGATTACTTCATCTTTGCTTACTGAGTAGTCGACTTGAACGCTTATTTACTCCCTATTTTTCCAAAATCACGCAATATATCCTTAATTTGTTTGTAGTAATCTTGATTAATCATCAACCCCCCTGACATGATAATACTAACTATTGTTAACAAACTTATCGCCACTAGATTGGTAAATTTGTTTGTTTTGTATTAAAGAATGTGATATATATTACTACAATAGAGTCAGAGATGAGAATCGAATTGAAAAGTAAATATTTCTTCGCTCAATTCTTTCGTCTTCTCAATTGGGAGTGGTGAGTTTTCTCTGTATTGAAAGCAAATGTTTCATACATCACTGAAGCTTTTTTTGTGGCATAATTGTAGTTTTTCCTTATTTGTTTGTTGGTGATGTTTCGCATAAAACTGAATGGTTTTGTTGAAATTACTGTGCTTGCTTGAAAATATCTGGTACTTGGTCTTATGATATTTTATAACTTTTTCATTATATGGTGGGTTTTGTTGTAAAACTAATGGTAGATGTAAAACTGAAGTTTTTTTCCGAATGGTAACTAATCAGTGTAAACAGTTGTCTCTTAGTATGTCTACTGGTTTAAACTACGGCTTACTCACTGGACTTCATTACAAAAGATCTTGTCACATCATACCACGTTGATGGAATATCGACTTTTGATTTTCTAAGAACAATTTGGTCAATTTTAGCTTATCTGTTTCGCTTTTGCAGTCTATTTCAAAGATTCTTTTCTGCTCACCGATATTTACAGGTTTCACACCCACCGATTCATGTTTTGATTAATTCTGCAAATCGTGGCAAGTTTTACTCAACAGGCTTGTGTAGTGAGCGGAAGGAAACTCTGCAGTTAACTTGGACGCAAAATAATACAGTGGCTAACTGGAGCCTTTTATTTAATTTCTCGCATGACAAAAGTAATTATAATCTCAATGAAATCAGTCTACATTTCGAACTGGTTAATTTGCCAGGTTAGTAGTGTTCTCTGTTAGCACACATTCATGGTATATCTTTACTTTCAAGACTGCTTAGCTTCTTGAAATTTCTTAAGCATTCTACTATTTCAAGGTTTCAACGTGAGCACTTATCAAATCCTTCAAACCGTTGTACTTGGGTTGTTCACGCAGAAATATTCAAGCGAAACAATTATTCTGGACTATTTGTTCCAGTGAATTTAGAAGCTTTCTGATCACTTGACTTTCAGGCACAATCTGTGTTCCCGCCATACATAGCATTTTGAAATGTAAATTGTAGTGTTTCAGCCTTTCTGATTGCTTAATACACCAGTCTGTAACTATTTTAATTGCATTTTTTTGTTGAAAAAACTGGATTGGATCACATTCACTTGTTTGATAAGCAAGGGAAAACGCCTTAACAGCCATGCTGTGTTACGCACAGCATCAGGAGAAATTATTTCGGACACCAATGGTAAGATGGAACGATGGGCCGAACATTTCAAGCAGCTACTCAATCGCAACGCTGGTCAACCGTCTCATCGACCGATACGACACTTACCAACACCTTACGTAGTCGACTGTGATCCACCCACTCCAACCGAAATAGCTAAAACAATTAACAGACTCAGAAACAAAAAAGCTCCGGGCGAGGATGGTCTACCTCCAGAAATATACAAGGCCTGCACTCCAGCGCTAATCGATTCTCTGCACTCGTTGTTCTGCTCAATTTGGGATTCCGAAACCATTTCTTCCGATTGGAGCACTTCAGTTCTGCTACCGTTCCACAAAAAGGGAGACAGGTCACTATGCGAGAACTACCGAGGCATAAGTCTGATTGATATCGCTGCTAAGGTTTTTGTTTCCATTCTCCTGAACCGCTTCGCTGCCGAACGCCACGTGCGAACAAGGCCAAATCAAGTCGGATTTCGACCTGGAAGAGGCTGTGTTGATCAATTATTCACACTGCGAAGAATTTTGGAACACAGGGACAAATTCCAACAGCCGACGGTTGCTTGCTTCATCGACTTCCGAGCGGCATTCAACTCAGTTGATTGAGGAGCACTCTGGTATATAATGGAGCTCGACGGTGTTCCGACCAAGCTAATCAACCTGCTCAGGTCATACTACTCCAACACCAAAGCTCGAGTCCGAGTGAACGGGGAAGAGTCTCGCACTTTTGAGGTAACCAGAGGTGTCCGGCAAGGTTGTCCAGCATCCCCCATCCTGTTCAATTTCACAATTGATTGGATTTTGCGGCACGCCCTAACCGAGCACCACGGCGTCCAACTTTCGCCCGATATTCACATAACCGACCTCAAATTCGCCGACGACGTCGTGTTATTAGCTGAAAACTTCCCCGATATGCAACAGGCGCTCGATCAGATAAACCACCTCGCGTCTACTATCGGTTTGGAAATTAACACTTCCAAAACCAAAATGTTTTCGAACACATCCACCAGCAATGATGAAATCTTATACCTAGATGGAGCACCTATTGAAATTGTGCCATCCTTCAGATATCTGGGATCCATAATGCTTCCCAACGGTCAAGCGAAAAACGAAGTGAATGCGCGAATCTCCAACGCCCGGAATGCGTTTCTACAGCTGAGGAGCGTTCTATGGAGCAAGAGGGAAATCAGTCTCAGGACTAAAATTCGGGTCTACCAAGCCTTCATACGATCCGTTCTCCTGTATGGCTGTGAACCCTGGCCTCTTCGCGCGGAAGATGTACGCAGACTCGAGGTAGTAGACCATTGGTGCCTCAGGTACATTCTGCATGTTCATTGGCAGGACAAACTCTCCAACGAAGAAGTGCGTCGTCGTTGCTACAACATCAACCAAATTCCAGTACTGTTCCAACAACGTCGCCTTCGGTGGTTTGGCCATGTTCTGCGCCGACCAGATGACGATCTGGTCAAATCAGTTCTAAATCCCTCGCCATTATCATCTTGGCGATGTCGCAGGGGTGGACAGCTGAAAACATGGCTTGGTACAGTCAAGGCTGATATGGAGTGCCTGGGGCTACAAACCGTCTACGGACTCCGTTTGTGGAACAAGAATTGGATAACCCTGTCGCAAAACCTTGCATCAGATCGCCGCGCCTGGGCAGCGGTGATTCGAGATGTTCATGAAGCCGGCTCATCCTCCCGTAGGAGATAGCCAAAGTAAAGTAAAGTAAGTAGTGGTTAATCGACGCAAAACAATTTGAAGTACTGAGTAATTTGAGTGTTTTTCCATATCCTTTGAGAGAAATAGGCCAGTTAGGTGAAGCTGATTAGATCAAAACTCACTAGTGGACGCTCCTGGAATCAAATTTTAACTTCTTTTTGTTGTAACCGCTTTTATAATAGCTGATTGTCTAAGTCAATGAGCCACATCTTTGTTACTTGACCTACTATTTTTCCATAAAGAAAAATCACAATGGTTTAAGGTTTTTTACATTTTTTAAATGATACAATCTATCTACTAAGTTACCAACTATTTGTTAACCTAAGTGAAATCATATTTTGTTTGTGACTTCACTGGAATGGACCTGCAGCAAATAAAATGGCTTCTATCATAAGTTAGAAGAAATAGGATCTACAACCGCATATTTGATGTAGTTAACCCAAGTAACCGACAGAACATCCCCAAAGTCAAACACAGAGATGGTATGTCAGCGGGAAAAGTTTCGACTCCTCTGGCAGCATATTTACCTCATAGCAAGCGCATTAGGTTTATTGATGTTTATCTGAAATCCTCAGTCCTCTAATTCCTCGAAAGTTACCTATATCGCTTATCCCATATCTTGATTCTCTGTATCCTTTTGATAGTATAATAATTTCACTATTCATATTTTTTTGTTTTGACTTATTTATCCATGCAGGCTTGAGAAATGTATCAAGTAATCAATCACTTATTTCTTGCCCAGTTGGTTCCTTCTATTCTTGCAAGGCTGAACAAAACGTAGTGCTGAACTCTTCCTATCCAAGTCCAGTAACTATCAATCTTACTGTTTCTCAGTTGAAAGTTGAGGCATTTCGAAACGGACCAAAGCCAGAATTTAATGGCATAAGTAAGTTTATTTAGATCCTCCATAGTGTTGCTGTTAATGTTTTTGTCTGTGGTTGGTTATCTTGTGATTTTTTGAACAGACAATCCTGTTTACCATACCAGCAGTCCTAGATTTTCATCTCTATTTCGGCAGTTGGGTAAATTCAGGCCAGGTGTGTTCGAGGAAGTGCATCAGGACTATGTACTCCAGTTAGGCACGGTAACAGATTATATCGATGTAAAGTATGGTTTGTGTTTCGTATTGAAAGACGTTTCTCATCTTTGTTCCACTGTGTAACTACCTAGTCGAGGATAGTGGTAACGTATAACCTTATTTGGTTTGCTAGTTTGTTCGCTTACTTGGATTAGAAGTAACTATACTCAACTTGTATGTTGTTTTTCACTATTCCACTTCTGTGTAATTTTCTACTTCTACATAGGCCTGAAACCGATTATGGTGTACTGTGATATACTTTGGTTTTTTAGGGTTGCAGCAGTATAACAACCGGTTTGGTGGGTAAATTTTTCTACTTTCTCTCGCCCTCCACTTAGATAGATCTGATAAATGAAGTAAGACTTCTCAACCTTTCTTATTCTTCACTAGTTTCACATGTCATATTATTATTATTATTGTCTATCCACTTAATTTATTAGTATTACGCAACATTTTGTGTCACACGATTTCGATTTAATCTAGTTATTGGATTGTTTATATTTTTATGATATCATCATTATTCTTATGACCATCTGCGTTAACTACTTGTACTTTTAAAATGGGAATATTTAAAGACTTGTACTTTTGTTATTACTGACCTGATTATTAATGTTATTGCTATTATTTATAACATTCAACACTTATTTTTGATTCACACATTCACCGTCATTAGTAAAATATCTCTGTATATAAAGCTATGAACGTTAGAGCGAATCGTGAGAAAGATCTAATTGAAGACAATATTGTTCGCTTATACGTCGTGTTTTAATTTTAACAATAGGAACATATTTATTTACTGTGTAACATTATCACGTGAGTAAATAGTCATTGTTTTCCTCTTATGCTTTTTTTTGCTTTACTATAGTGGTTGAGTGCTCACTCGATAGTGGACTAAATAAACTCGTTCCAACTATCATCGGAATTTCGCTAGCGGTGATGATTGTAATTGCTTTGGTTATATTTATTGTTACCAGTCAACGTCATCGAATTCGTGGTAACGCTGGGGATTATCAGCAAATCTGATGTGTCTGAGGTTTTAATATCGGTTTTGGACCTAACAACTAAACCGTATTACTTTTGACTACATGATCGAAACGGTGATTCATGAAACAATTTATTCACGAATACCACTTGATTTATTTCACTTGATAGTGGCCATTTTCTGCAGAACTCAATTTTGTTACTTAAAGCTTAATTATTCAAATATGATCAACTTTTACAACTGATTTATGTTCATGTATTTGATGATCAACACTATTGTTGATTCACCATTCCCATACACCATGTAGATTATGATTTGCTTAAAATCATATGTACACATATGGACTATCAGTTTCGTTTGTGTATTTTATCACAAACTCCTTTACTCCACCTCATATACAAGATCTTTCATATCTTTGATGAAAAAGTCTGATTATTTTTCTGTCTCTTTGTTACATGATGAATGTAAATCTTATTAAGGTTCCTATAATATTCGATTGAAACAAAATCATGTCATCCTGGTTTTCATTTGTAATAAAGTGAAAATTAGCAAGAACCACTTGGTGTTTTAAAATCGTGATGATAGTTTCCATGTAAATGTTTGACTGAAAGTGCCTTTAATGGCTACGCTGTTTGTATCAGTGTGGGAAGTCGCCTGTTATTTTCTTCGTGTAGATTGTTTAGTAATATCAGAGGAAGATTAGTGATTTCCAAAATTTCGAAGGTAATAGAGAGTCAGCGCTTCTGCACTATTGTGAACTCTTGAATTATGTTACCAAGCCTGTGCAGGTCGAGGACCCCGTTCAAGCCACCTACATGTTATCAACAAATCGTCAGATATTTCGTTGGTTGGTATGTTTTGATCTGACCAGCACACTGTGGATAGGACTTAAAGACGAATTCTTGGCTATTTTTTTTGTCAAGACGATGGTTTTGGTGACCTAACAGTATGTCATTCCCCACACGAAATACCCAACCGATAGCTGCTGCTACCTTGACGTGGTGGTCGGGCTTGCATATCACAATGACTCAACAAGCTGCACTGGCTGGAATGTTGGGGCATTCAACATCAGGACCCTCTGCAAAATCGGACAACAGACATCACTAGTGAGAACTCTGACAGCTCGAGCCATGGATGTATGTTGTGTTTCGGAGACACTCATACAAGACCCGAGTGTGGCTATTCACTTAACCCCACACGGCCAACAATGTGAGTCTCTAAAATTCACCTTAAGGGTATCAGAGCATTCCTCAGCTAGTTCGCGAGAACTCTCAGGTGTAGGGACAGCGTTGAGTGTTAGGGCAGAAAATTTTTTTTTTGATTTACAGCTTGATGCCACACCGTATTTTCAGTACAAGTATGGAATTTTCAGCATGGATATCGGTAGCCCAAATTCAGGCCGACCATAGATATCGGGTGTGCGTCGGCAGCGGATCGAACCCCGGACCATGTGCATGGTTGGCGTGAGTCCTAACCACTGTGCCACCGACTCACCCCACTTTTCGACTGGATCCCAGTAAGTAGTCGTATGTGTGCAGTCCGTCTGAACGGGTCCTTTAGAAGAAGGGAAGACGACTTTACCCGTCGTTGTCTTTTCATAGTCTCCGCTCACGCCCCAGCCGTCTGCAGTTCGGATGAACAAAGGGATGGTTTCTACCTAAAACTGTCTAGTTTCCTGCAAAAAGCAAAACGCTCAGTTACAGTTGTTTCAGTAGGCGACTTCAATGCCCAAGTAGGGAAGTTGTGCCAGACTGAGAAGTATGTAGGTGGTACCTATGGAGTTCTCTGCCGACGAGCCGCCAACTGTGATTGTCTCCTACAGTTCTGTTCAGATAATCATCTGTTCCTAGTCATCACTAACTTTAGGCGTAAAGAGAGACATAGCCTAACATAGTGACCTCCATTAGCAAATCAATGCTGGACTCAGATAGACCACATAGCGATACGGTATCGTTGGGGAAGGTCAATAGAAGACTGCCGATCCTTCTGGAACACGTGCGTGGACTCGTATCACGCCCTGATTCGCGAACGTTTATTCTTACAATTACATGAACATAAGAGACTTGGCAGTGAACCACTTACGCCCCCAACTTGATCAGGACACCGAGTCCTTATATACAGAAGATATGGCTAAACGAGTACCTGAGGTCGACATCAAGACTCCTCCTGAGGAAGCCTAGCACAACATACAGTTAGCTGTAGGCACAGCTATAAAAGTTGTTAATAACCTCAAACGAAAAGTAAGTAAGAGTCAGGGGGTTTCTACAACCTCATCCGAACTGATTGACGCAAGAAGACTGATTCCAGCGAGCTCTGAATCTGATCAGGAGCGAAATCTACTCAAACGCAAAATAACGGGAAGTCTTCGTAACGACCGTTAACAGTGGTGGGCGACAAAAGCGAAAGAGATGAAAAAGGCATCGGCGATTGGTAACACCAGACAACTATTTAGACTTATCAGGGAAGCAGGTGGTAAAAGGCAAACGATAAATGAAACAATCTCTGAGGAAAATGGCACCATAATTACCTCCCAGGACAGACAACTGGAATGTTGGAAATAACACTTTGAGGAGCAATTTAACTGGTCCACAGCCATGCTCAACTTGCCCAGCATCTTCCTGAGTGGGTTGTAAACACCGTCCCTAACTGAGGTTACAAAAGCTGTCACTAGTCTGAAACAAGGCAAAGCATCGAGACCTGGTGAAATGACTCCAGAGGTGTTTAAGGACGATGGAGATAATCTACTGCCTAAGGTATTCGGCAGCGTCTGAGAATTAAAAATAGTCCCGTTGGGCTGTTGTAAGTCATTGATTATCCCGATATACAGGAAGGGAGACAAGTCTTCCTGTGATAATTACAGGGGGATTAGCTTGACCAATATGGTATCGAAAGTTCTAGGCTCATTAATTATGCGTAGAATAAACTATGCTCGGGAGAAACGAGCACGTGAGAACCAAGCAGGTTTTAGACAAGGAAGATTATTATTATTATTCTTCCCTTGGGTTCCTAGTGGAACATAGAGCTTCAACTGCACGTCTCCACTTGTTTCTGTCTTCTGCTGTACTTTTCATTTGCATCCATGTTACTCCATACTGTTTCATTTCTTCTTCACACGATTTCCTCCATATCACCCCTGGACGTCCCACTCGCCGCTTCCCTTTCGGGTTCCACTCTACGGCCTGACGCGAGTGTCCAATCCATTTCCACTTTCTCCTGCATATTTGTTGGGCGATTGGTTCTTGTTTTGTTTGTTCCCATAGTTTCTTGTTGGTGATTCTTTCCGGCCATCTGGTCCTGAATATAGAACGAAGACAGTTGTTGATAAAGGTCTGCAACCTGTTGGAAATATTCTTTGTGACCCGCCAAGTTTCTGATCCATATAGAAGAACTGACTGACTTGACGTTTGTATTGAAAATCCGAATTTTGTTGTTGATGCAGGCTGAGTGACGAAGATTTCCAGATTGGTTTCAGGTTGATGAATGTGTTTCTCGCCTTCCCGATTCTCGATTTGACATCCTCGTCGGTTCCTCCTGTAGTTGAGACAATTCTCCCTAGATAAGTGAATGAAGTAACCTCTTTCAAATCCCTCCCGTTGATGGTGATTGGCGCTGGATGTTGCTGCTGCTGCTGTTGTTGTTGGTTGGTTATTTTCATAACCTCCGTCTTGTCTATGTTCAGCTGGAGTCCTGTCTTTGCTGCTTCTTCGACTAGTTTGTCGGTTTTCGCTTGTAAGTCTTCGATTTTGTGTGACATCAAACATAAATCATCCACGCGCGAAATCCAGGTCTTCTAGGTTCTTCACTTCGGTCCAGGATATCCCTGTCTTCTCGTTTCCCACTGTCTGACGCATAATCCAGTTAACCACAATCAGGAATATCATTGTTGATAATAAGCACCCTTGTCTGACTCCTGTGTTTACTCCAAAAGCCTGGCTGAGTTTTCCGTTGTGGATCACTTGACATGTGCCGTTGTCGTACAGCTGTTGAATAAGGTTGATGAATATTTGGGGTACGCCGTAGTACTTGAGTAGTTTCCAAATTACTTCGCGGTCAACGCTATCGAAGGCCTTCTCAAAGTCTATGAAGGAAGTTGAGGTAGAGGTTTGATTGCCATTCCATGCTTTGTTCGATGATAATGCGTAGAGTTGCAATTTGGTCAGAACATGATTTGCCTTTCCTGAATCCAGCTTGTTCTGGTCGGAGTTCTGTATCCAGTGCGTCCTTTATTCTCCCCAGGATGATGCGACTCAGGATTTTACTTGGCGTCGACAGGAGCATGATTCCTCGCCAGTTCTTGCAGAGTCCTTAGTCGCCCTTCTCTGGTTTCACAAGGTAACCTTTCCTCCAGTCAGTAGGCAACTTTCCGTCCTTCCAGACCTTTTGCATTCATGGAGTCAGCATATCTGCTGTCGTCTCTGGGTCCGCTTTCAGTGCTTCAGAGGGTATTCCATCTGGTTCAGCTGCTTTTCCAGCTTTCAGAAGCTTGATTGCATTCAAGACTTCAGCTTTCGTTGGAGGATTGGTGTCAACTTGCAGTTGTGTACGTGCTGTTGTTGGTATTTCTGGACGGACGGGTTGCAGGTGGTGGTCGGTTCAATAGTCCTTTGAAGTGGTCGGCCCATTGTCTAATCTGTCTTTCTTCCTTGGTAATTGGGCTCTCTTGGCTGTCTTTTATAGGTTTCACTTGTGTTGATCTCTTCCCGGATAGAGACTTGGTTATCTGATATAATGTCCTCAGGTCCCTTTTGCCTGCTGCGTTCTCAGCTTCAGTGGCCAGGTTGTCGTAGAATTGTCTTTTGTCCTTCCTGGTACTCTTCTTCACTTCTTTGTCCAGTGCCGTGTAGGTTGAGCTCAGCGTCTCTTTCTCTTGTCCATCTTTGCATTGAATCATTTTCTCTTTCACCATTCTCCTCTCCTCTTTTAGCTTCCAAGTGTCCGTTGAGAGCCATTCCTTGTCTTGTCTCTTCTTTCTTCCTAAAACCGTTGAACACGTTTCGTTGAAAATCACCTTCAGAGAGTTCCGATGGTCTTCCACGCATGATTCCTCAGTGATGTCACGTAGTGTTTCTGGCTTTGCTCTGACATTTGCAGTGAAAGTGTCCTTTGTGGTTGTATCCTTCAGTTTTTGCGTGTTGAACTTGCATTGTGGCCTATCCCCAGCTATCCTCGAGGCTTTTAGCTTCACCTTGAAAGTCCCTTGTACTAGATAGTGGTCTGAACCCACATCTGCTCCTCTCCTCGACCTTGTGTCCAGTAGGCTCCGTCTCCACTTCCTTGAGATTGAAATGAAGTCTATCTGGTGAAATTCATGTCGCCTTGTGTATATCCTTGTGTTTGAACACACTGCCACCAATCACCAAATCATTGAAGGCGCAAAAGTCTGGGAAGTTCACCATTTTCATTCATTTCACCGAGGGCCTCGCGGCCCATGGTGAGTTCTCTTCCTGTATTGTCTCCTCCCAGTTTCGCATTCATGTCACCCATCAGGATTTTGATATCGCTCTTTGGGACTTTGTCCATTACTGTTTGTAGTTGACTGTAGAAATCCTCCTTCTCTT